GTCTGGGCGACAGTGAGACTCCAACTCAAAAAAATAAAAAAAAAAAAATAAAAATAAAAATAAAAGCCCCTGCCATTCTCCCCCAACATCCTCTCCATGAATACAGAAATGAATAAAACAATTTTATTAGCTAATAAGTGTTAAACAGCAAAATACAAAACATTTATCCCTGAGTTTTCATTAAATAAATTCATACTGCAAAAAGACACCTAAACAGACTTTTGTCACAAATCATTGTCTGCTCTGCAGTGCTCACGAACTTTGTCCTAGACCATGGTAAAATTCCTGCCAACTCTCCCTAAAAGTCATTTACTATCTCCTAAAATCATCCACACTTCCTCATCTCCCTTTCCCCTAAAAAAATAGTGTATATAAACATCTATACCCATTGAAAGGGCATAACATGAAGTCAATATACCCAGTGAGCAGCCATTTTAACATTGCCTAAACCTCCGGGATTTTTTTCAGCAGTTCACTTTACCTTCGTATCCACTAGCCAAGGACAGAACCAGTTTGTCAGAGGTAGCTATTGATAATTGCTTTACAACCCCCACCCCAGGTCATTTCTAAACAAGTTAACCTAATCAACCCTTTGTGACCTTCATGACACAGATAGACCCTATCAGCATGGCAACTGTCATGTGACTATCCCCTCCATCTGCCAGCTGTCCACCTGACGTCAGTACCTGTGCATATCTGCCCTCTATGATGACATGAAGCAGACCACCACCCAATCACCTTACCGACTTTCCTCTATCAAAGGGAAAGTTTAAAAAGCAGACAGCCTCCATTACTCTGCTAAGCTATGGTCTGGCCATGTGGTCTTTGAGCTGTGACCGCCATGTTTTCTTAGCTTTGGCTCCCTCCCCTACTGGGGAGATGAATCTTTTCTCTCTCTCCCTCTCTAATTTACTTCTAAATAAACTATATTTTCCAGTCTAACTTCCGTGCAATTCTTGGCCTCTTTTACATGGTACTGGATCACACAACCCCACCCTGTATTGGGCCTGACCTAACATTCTGGAGGCCCTACTGGGAGATATTTTTCAGTCTAATACCCATTAAGATATTGGACAATCAATATCTGTTTCTCCCCTATACACACTAATAAACTTATATGCCATCTCTCCTATTAATCTGTCTTTGGTCAGTTAATTTCCAACCAAACTTCGAAGATTTTTTTTTCTCTTTTTTTGTTTAGCCAAGCCTAGAGAGACTAAGATTTTTTTTTTTAAGTCTTCCTATGGCCCCTACAGAGAATATGAGTGCAAGACTTCACAGCTCCCTGGCGGCAGCCCGGATTCTAGGGTGTTCTAAGTCACATCAAGTGAAAACAAAAGAGGAACAAAACCCACAAAAATTTTTTGCCCTAGAGAAGTAATTCTTTCTACTGAAGCCACAGTTCTGGTGAGCTGAGCAGAAGAGAAAAGGGCTGAGAAAGCATAAACAAAGAACAAAAAGTAGATTTGTTGTTTCAAAGTTATTCTTTCTTTTCTTTTCTTTTTTTTGAGTAGGAGTCTCACTCTGTTGCCCAGGCTGGAGTGCAGTGGAACAATCATGGCTCAATCAGCCTTGACCTCCTGGACTCAAGTGATCCTCCCACCTCAGCCTTCCCAGTAGTTAGAACTACAGGTGCATGCCACCACACCTGGCTAATTTTTTGATTTTTTTGTAGAGACAAAGTCTCGTTATGTTGTCCAGGCTGGTCTTGAATGCCTCCCTCCTCAGCCACCCAAAGTGCTCAAATTACAGGCAGAAACCACCTCGTCCAACCTCAAAATTACTTTCCTTATAAAGGTTAAAGCAGAGAGGACTTCCTTATCGTGCTGACTAATGTGGGCCTGTTTGGGGATTTTGCTGTGACTGTATCTCTCTCTCCTAATTTCTTGGAGGGTCTGATAAACAACCCAGTTTCAGCTTGGTGGCGTGAAAACTTGAGGATGAGTTGAAGTTACCACACCCCTGGGGTGTGGGCAGCGTTTACTGAGCCCCTACTGTGAATGCTGGCATGGCAGTCTACTTAGGATATTCCTGATAGATAGTCCTGTGAGCTGTAGATAAGGTGGATTCCGCTGGGAGGAGGACTAGTCCTGTGGGCTGTAGATAAACTATACTGAGGTGGGGGGAAGCTCTCCTTCCCCTCCCTCCATTTTCATTTGATCTGTTGGGCCTAGTGCAAGGGATCAGTTCAAACCTGCAGCTGCCCACACATTTTATTTAGAAGTTCAATAAACACATGAAAAGGCGCTCAACCTCCTTAATCTTCAGGGAAATGCACATTAAAACTGGTAGGCACCCAACAGCATGTCTACAAAATGAGCAGACACATCCCAAGTGTTGATGACGAGGTGAAGCAGTGGGAGCTCTCCCGCCTGGTTTGTGAGAGAGGAGATTGGGTATTGTCACCTGGGGAAGTTGCTTGAAAACGTATGCCTATATCATGACCTGCAATTGTATTTCTGGGTACGCGAGGGAGGACCCCCCAAAAAAGTGTATAAAATTGTATATTTAGTCTTACATGTTTAAACTTCAGTCCCTTCAAAGTATTCTCTGTTGGATGCAATACACCTATCGAGACATTTTTTCCTCAGCTCAAAACAGTCCTTGAACTTGTCAATTTTTTTTTTTTTGGTTGGAGTCTCACTCTATCACCCAGGCCATTGTAGCCTCAACTTCCTGAGATCAGGTGATCCTTCCACCTCAGCCTTCCAAATAAGCTGGAACTACAGATGTGTGCCACCACACCAGGCTAATTTTTTGGTTTATTGTAGAGACGAGGTCTTGCCAAGTTGCCCAGGCTGGCCTCGAGCCTGTGGGCTCAGGCAGTCGTTTTGCCTCTGCCTCCCAAAGTGCTGGGATTACAGTCGTGAGCCCCTCCTCCTGGCAA